ATGTTTATGCACTTTCAAAAATTTGCCATTTTCACTCAGCCTGATTAGTTACAACTATATCCAGGTTCTGAGTTTATTTAAGGTTTCCATGATACAATTTATACCTATAAAGGTAAAAAAAAAAAATCTAAGAAAAGCAAGTCCCAGAGAGCTAACATTTATAAACCTTAAAGTAAGTTTTTGATTAACATGATTTTTCTAATTACTATATAACATAAAGACTCTTTCATGCCCTAGAACAATAATTTTATATTTTTTTGAGACAGGGTCTCACTCCCATCACCCAGGCTGGAGTGCAATGGCGTGATCTTCCCATCTCAACTGCTGGAGTAGCTGGGGCTGCAGATGCCACCACACCCAGCTAATTTTTGTATTTTTTGTAGAGGGGGTTTCACCATGTTGCCCAGGCTAATCTTGAACTTCTGAGCTCAGTGATCTGCCCACCTCAGGCTCCCAAAGTGCTGGGATTACAAGCATGAGCGACTGCACCCAGTAACAATGAAATATTTGTTGTTTTCTACCTCAAAAAAAAAAAAAAAGGCAACCTTGGAAAGGAAAATAATTACTTCTGGAAACCATGTAAGATAAAACTTGGCTATACTTAAAATCTTCCTATGTTAACAAAATAGAAATTGCCTGTCAATGCACATTTACATATGTTTATTATACATTTATATTTGTTTGTATATGTTTATGTATGTTTATTACAACATTTATTATATGTTATATACAAAGTCAGTATATAACAGAAACACACCAAAGCCAAAACTATTTCCATTTTAAAATCTACAGTAACTTGGAAATCAACAGATTTGTAATTTAGGCTGAAACATTTCATTTACCAGGTCACTCCCAATGATTCCAATTTAAAATTAATTACAAGAAGGAAACAAGTCTGGCTACTTTTTTATGAATACTAGCCTCAACTTAATTATATGTTGATTCAACTCAGCTCCCAAATTTAGAACAAGTTTTAACTGGAAAAATAGCATACCATAAGAAATGAAAATAAAATGTCTCTCATGAGTTACTATAAAGAAATGATTATTAATCCATTGTTTCTTACCTAATCAAGGATCTCACTTAGGTAAATGCCCCCTCTTATCTCTGCATCAATTTTTCTTTCCCTACTGACTCTCTTCATATACAAACACTTTAAAATCTCTCAAATGAAATTAAAATCCTCCTTACCATAGAGGTATTGTCCTATTTCTCTGTTTTACAGCGAAATTCCTCCAAAAACTATCTATACTGATGTCTTCATTGCCCTCACCTCTCATGCTTTCCTGAACATACTCCCTCCAATAACACTTTCATTTCCACCACCCACAGAAACTTCTCTTCTTAAGGTCACCAGTGATTTCCACATTGCCAAATCCAATTATCAATTCTCAGTCCTTCCTGGCAGCATTTGATACAGCTGATCACTTTCTCCTCCCTGACACATTTTTCATCCTTTGGCCTCACTCACCCTTGGTCTTCCTCCTTCCTCACTTCTTCTGCCTTCAGTATCTCCTTTGCAAATGTTCATCTTCATTCTGGCCTCCAAAAAGTTGGCTTGTCCAAGGGCTTAGTCCTTGAAACTCTTCTCCTGTCTATCTTTATTTTATTCCTAGGCAACCTCTGTGATTGTATATACTAATATAGCCCTTCTTTCCAACTTAAGTCTGGTGCCACTTCTTTGTACTCCAGATTCATTTAGCCAGCTGCCCATTAGTAATCTCCGTTTGAACATCTAATAAGCACCTCAACTTTAACAAGATCAAAACCAAAAACCTAGATTCTATATAAACACCTCAAAATCGACTCCACACTTCCACTCGTCTTCCCCTTATCAGTATAAAAGTAATTCTATCCTTCTAGTTTCACAGGACAAAACTTAAAAATCATTAAGACATGATATTTTAAAACCATGTCTTTATAAAATATTTTTAAAGTCAGGGTATCTCACTGTTGCCCAAGCAGGGGTACAGTGGAGCAATCAGACCATAGCTCACTGCAGCCTCAAACTCCTAGGCTCAAGGGATCCTTCTGCCTCAATCTACCAAGCAGGCAGGACTACAGGTACATGTGCCACCACACCCAGCTAATTTTTGTAGAGATGGAGTCTTGCTTTGTTGCCCAGGCTGTCCTCAAACTCCTGGCTTCAAGCAATCCTCCTGCTTAGACCTCCCAAAGTGCTGGGATTACAGGTGTGAGCCACTGCCCCTAGCCAAGTGTCATTCTTGACTCTTCTTTTCCCTAGCTTGTTGGTTCAACCTTTAAAACATGTCCAGACTATAATACTTCTCATCACCTCCACCTCAAGCCCCCAATTCAAGCCACTATCTCATCTCTTTTCTAAAGAGATGAGAAATAATTCTAAACTGGACTTCCTGTTCCCATACCATATAATATCCATACAGCAGCAAGTGTAATTCTTTTCAATCTTAAATCAGATTATGTCACTCTACTGCTTAGAACTTGTCATGACTTGCCCTGTCACTCAGAATAAAAACCAAAATCTTTTTTTTCTTTTTTAGACGGAGATTTTGCTCTTGTTACCCAGGCTGGAGTGCAAAGGCGCGATCTCGGCTCACCGCAACGTCCGCCTCCTGGGTTCAGGCAATTCTCCTGCCTCAGCCTCCTGAGTAGCTGGGATTACAGGCACGTGCCACCATGCGTGTATTTTTAGCAGAGACGGCGTTTCACCATGTTTACCAGGATGGTCTCGATCTCTTGACCTCATGATCCACCCGCCTCGGCCTCCCAAAGTGCTGGGATTACAGGCTTGAGCCAACGCGCCCGGCAAAAAACAAAACTCTTTATGACTACAAAGTCTCTTCATGATCTAGCCCTCTGCCGCCTATCTCATCTACCACTCTTCCCCTTGTACTGCTGCTCCAGCTGCACTGGCCTACTTGCCTTTCCTCAAACACACTAAGCCTACTCCTGCCCCAGAGCCTTTGTGCTTGCTGTTCCTCAGCCTGAAACCCTCTTCCCCCAGGTATCTGCACAGCTTGCTCTCCCACATCATTCAGACTCAAATGCTACCTTACCAGTGAGTCCTTTTCTTACTAATCCTATATAAAACAGTAACTCCCTACTTATACTGTCACTCTCAATCCTCTATCTGCTTTATTTTTCTTCTTAGCACCCATCAGCGCTTGACACAGAAAATAATTATTTGTTTACTGCCTCTCTTCCCTAGTACCAAAATGCTAGTACCACAGAGGAGCAATTCTGATTTACTCAAAAAGCAGCACAAAGAGCACCTGGCCTTTAGCCTGGTACATAAATGACTAAATAGTAGTAAGTTGTTTGCTAAAAGTTTTATAAAGATTCAGTCATTTAATCTTTTGTTACAAAGCATGAAGGAGGTACTATTATTATTCCACCTTTATCAGTGAAGAGCTAAAATCGCAACAGATAAAGTAAGTTGCATGTCACACAGCTTCTAAGTGGAAGTCAGGCTCCTGTACCCATTAAATGAGATCAAGTTAGATATACAAAAAAGGCATTTAACAAAATACTTGGTATATAAAATGCCTATCATTAATAGAACACTTCTAATCTAGGCTTTTTATGTGTATTTACTATTCACTCATTTAATTCTGATATTAATAAGAGATTATTATACACTGTCATCACTATTTACTATTGATCAGGGCTACTATTAACATAATCGTAGTCGCAAACAGCATGCTATGAGATAAATGGCACAGACTGAACCTTCCTTCATCTCAGAAAAAACATGATACCATGTGTTTCGAACAATATGTTGTGAAGGTTGGCACTGGAAACCAAATCAAAATTAACTGAATTCATATCATACATAGACACACATCATTAACTAGGTATGTGCTAGCTTGCAGTTCTAAAAAGCAAACTCTCTAAAATCTCTAAAATTAAACTCTCTAAAATTTTTTTTAAAAATCTACTCAAAAATTAAGCTGCTATTCCATGTTGTAGCATACTATGCTTAATATATCTTTTTCATTATAAATTTAAAATATCTGGATTAAATTAGATCTCTTTAATATTTAAAATAGAACTTATTCATTTATAGCAATGACTACTGATATCGGCAAGTCTACCTAATGTAAATAACCCTTTTCTTTAAAAGTCAGTTTTATTACCAAAAATAAATTTTGAAATTACTGCATCTGATAAAGTAGCCAATTCTTTTTGTTTGTTTGTTTGTTTTTTTGAGGTGGGGTCTTATTCTGTCACCCAGGCTGGAGTGCAATGGCACAATCTGGCTCACCACAACCTCTACCTCCCAGGCTTAAGCCATTCCCCCCCCCACCTCAGCCCACACCCCCACCCTCCCCCAGTAGCTTAGCTGGGACTATAAGTGCATCACCACGTGGGCTCAGCTAATTTTTGTATTTTTAGTAGAGATGGAGTCTTGCCATGTTGCTCAGGCTGGTCTCAAACTCCTGGGTTCAAGCAATCCTCCCACCTTGGCCTCCCAAAGTGCTGGAAATACAGGCGTGAGTCACCGCACCCAGCTAAAGTAGCCAATTCTTTTATACTTAAGTCACAGTGAAAACCCACAGGAATTGTGGAAATTACTGAATACAATTTCTTCAGCTCCATATAGACTTTAGTTTTTAATTTTTAGTTCAATCTGTAGATACTCATTTACTAATAATAAACATACAAAAGATTTTAAGTAGACTCTTAAAACTTACAGTGCAGACCAGGTGCGGTGGCTCACACCTGTAATCCCAGTACTTTGGGAGGTTGAGGCGGGTAGATCACTTGAGGTCAGCAGTATGAAAACAGCCTGGCCAACATGGTGAAACCCCGTCTCTATTAAAAATACAAAAATTGGCCGGGCGTGGTGGCACACGCCTGCAGTCCCAGCTTCTGGGGTGGCTGAGGCAGAAGAGTAGCTTGAACCTGGGAGGCAGAGGTTGGAGTGAGCTGAGATCACACCAATGCACTTCAGCCTGGGCAACAGAGGGAAACTCCTTAAAAACAAACAAACAAGATTAAAAAATTAAAAAACTTACGGTGCGATAATGGCTCTAGCAGGTCTTTTTGTAGACTGTACTTGTGAAAGCCAACCTTCTAGCTGTGCATTCAGCTGCGGTCCTATAAAAAGACAAAGACAAAATTAGAGTCAGGAAAGCAGTGCACTACAGATAACCACACATGGCATAAAGCCTTCATTGAACTTACATGGGACTAAACTAGCTTAATGAGCAATAGGATCATCGGTTGGGATGCTAATGTTTAACTTTACCAACTACACAATCAGGCCAAATTCTGATTAAACAAAGTTTGCTTTTATCCATTTACTTATTTACAACTGTCTTCATTTCAGAACAACACAATGTGATTTACAAGTTGAGGCAATATTTAAACAAAGTAAAACAGAAAACGAAAGATTCTCAGTATATGAAGAAGAAATAATTATGTTATAGAGCACCAAAATCTGCTCTACAGATTAGTCACTGAAATGACATCCACGACGGTAATCACTTCCATACCCAATCACCTTTTCTGCCATCCCACCCCAGCCCCTAGTCTCATGATAAAATTAACAACCGGTAACTACACTACCTTAAAAATCTCAATTTCAAGCATCTCAGCTTCTTTACTCAATATACTTACATATCTTTCCAATTCACTACCAGAAATCCGTTAACTCCAACAGACCCTACAAATTTTTTCACTATCCTTTATCTCTCTTTGAGTCTCTAGTCTGAAACTCAAAAAAAAATCCACCACAATCATTCCCTTACCTGCAGCCTCACTTCTCTGCTCCTCTCTCCCACCAACATAGTTTAAAACCAACTTTCCACTTAACGCAGTACTTTTACCTGAACAGCTGAATGAGACTAAAGAGAAATACAACCGTATAAACTTTAAAATAATAACCATAGTAAGCCACGGTGGCTCAGGCCAGCTGTCCTGGTGCTTGAGGAGGCAAGGCTATACGTTCGAGACCAGACTGGGCAACATAGAGAACTCTCATTCATTGACAAAAAATTAAAAATAATAAGGGCCGGGCGCAGTGGCTCAAGCCTGTAATCCCAGCACTTTGGGAGGCCGAGGCGGGTGGATCACGAGGTCAAGAGATCGAGACCATCCTGATCAACATGGTGAAACCCCATCTCTACTAAAATACAAAAAATTAGCTGGGCATGGTGGCACGTGCCTGTAATCCCAGCTACTCAGGAGGCGGAAACAGGAGAACTGCCTGAACCCAGGAGGCGGAGGTTGCGGTGAGCCGAGATAGCGCCATTGCACTCCAGCCTGGGAAACGAGCGAAACTCCGTCTCAAAATAATAATAATAATAATAATAATAATAATAATAATAATAAATTTCAGCAGACCCCTGAAAGGCTCAAAAATCCTATCACATTCACATAGTCAATCTGTTCTCCTATCACTCATAGCTTCTCTTTTCACCTTAAGCCTGAATACTTCCTTCACTCCCTTATCTCTCCCAGAAGATAATTAATGCTGTTCATTTTGTCAAGGAAAAACGATCAGAAGTTGGCCCAAGACTTTCCCAGTTTTAGCACTGGAAGTCCTGCATTCTGAGAAACTGCTAAATCACAAGCAAACCTGGATGTTGGTCACCCTAAATCCAGAAGAGAACTACTTCATCTTCCACTTACTCTGCTTTCCCTCCTATTTCAACAAATTATCCTTGTTCCTATCAAGAACCAAACAGTATTTCTATACTGGATTCCATTATTTTTTTCTTTCTCAAGTATTCTGCTCCCATAACTATTACAGGTCTCCTATATCAATTCTTCCCTTTTTAAATGATCATTATTACTAGCATGCAAATGTGTCATACTAACACTGATTAATTTCCCTTCAACTACCTCTCCATTTCTTTGGTCCCCTTTACAACAAATTTTCTTGAAGAGATGTCCTCATTTCCTTCCACCGCTTGCCATTCATTCTTCCTTTTAAAACTTTCAATCATTAAATATTTAAACATTACAAAATACAACAAAGCACACATACCCACTGTCTAGATAAATTAAATCTTAACATTCTACCTTATTTACTTAAGATTTTCTTTGGTTAAGAAATAAAAGACGCCGGGCGCGGTGGCTCACGCCTGTAATCCCACCACTTTGGGAGGCCGAGGTGGGTGGATCACGAGGTCAAGAGATCGAGACCATCCTGGACAACATGGTGAAACCCCATCTCTACTAAAAATACAAAAAATTAGCTCAGCATGGTGGCGTGTGCCTGTAATCCCAGCTACTCAGGAGGCTGAGGCAGGAGAACTGCCTGAACCCAGGAGGTGGAGGTTGTGGTGAGCCGAGATCGCGCCATTGCACTCCAGCCTGGGTTACAAGAGCAAAACTCCATTTTAAAAGAAAAGAAAAGAAAAGAAAAGAAATAAAAGACAATGAGAACACATGGACACAGGGAGGGGAGTACTACACACTGGGGTCTGTTGGGAGGAAATAGGGGAGGGACAGTGGGGGGTGGGGAGTTGGGGAGAGATAGCATGGGGAGAAATGCCAGATATAGGTGATGAGGAAGAAGGCAGCAAATCACACTGCCACGTGTGTACCTATCCAATAATCTTACATGTTTTTCACATGAACCCCAAAACCTAAAATGCAATAAAAAATAATAATAAAATAAATTTTTTAAAAAAAAGGAAATAAAAGAATCCCTAGGCCGGATGTGGTGGCTCACGCCTGTAATCCAAGCACTTTGGAGGCCAAGGCGGGTGGATCATCTGAGTCGGAAGTTCAAGACCAGTCTGACCAACATGGTGAAACCGCATCTTAAAATAAAAGAAGAAGAAATAAAAGAATCCCTTGCTGATCCCTTTGTACACCTCCCTCCTTAGAGGTAACCACGTCCTGATTTTGGTGTTTATCATTCTATTCTACTTTCACTGTCTATGTATCAATAAACAATACATGGTATTGTTCTTGAAAATTACATTTGTTTTTGAAAATTACTCAAGTTGATATGTCCCCCTAAACTATCCATTTGCAATGCTGTATTGTACTGTACTATATGAATGTAGCAAAATTTATCTACTCACTTCTCTACTTACAAATATTTTGGTTGTCACCAATGTTTCACTATTAATACATAATGCTACGAGTATCCTATGAACATGTGTTAACAGTTCTTCTAAGATTTATCTACAAGTAAAAGTGATGAATCAGACTGTGTACTCTTCTTCAACTCGACTACAACACTGCTAAGTTGCCCACTAAGGTAGCTGGATCAACTTATCCATCAGTATACAGGCAAATGAAAATTTAAAATAAGAGGCCTAATTCTACCTGTACACCCCCAGCCCTTTTCTTACAGTGTTTTCTTCCAAAAACTTGTAAATTCTTTCTCTGCTCGCTTAGAGATGTATGTAAATCTTTGTAAAAGCTAGCCAGCAGCAGCCCAAAGCTGCCTTGCTCAAGGATCTAATGGCCATCTCTTTCAAATGAGATTATCAAACGAGATGGTGCCCTTATCTCTCAATTTCCATGGGAGGATACGGTGCCTAACTTTGGCAGGCCATCTAGTTCCAAGTTGCAAAATTAAATCCTTTCATAAAGATATGAGTTCATTTTTCCTTTGGAAAAAGCCAATTCGTTCATACAAAAGGTCGCTCCAATTATCAAGTGAATTTAGGATAAACTATGTGTGGCAAAAGATGGTATCAAGTCCTCCTAGTTTAACACTATTTATTGTTTATCTTGAGAACTGGTTTGTAATGGGTTGCACCTGCTTGGCTATATGTAAGAGTGAACATCCTTTTGGTCTTTGCAGTCTTTTAGCAGATTACTTGTGACACGTGTCATTCTGGTTTAATACTTACTCAAAAATGAAATTGTTTCCTTTCTCTTCTACCTCTGAAGAGATGTTTTCTGGGGGAAGCAGATTTCAGTTTTGTTTTTTTTTGAGACGGAGTTTCACACTTGTTACCCAGGCTGGAGTGCAATAGCGCGATCTCAGCTCACCACAACCTCCGCCTCCTGGGTTCAGGCAATTCTCGTGCCTCAGCCTCCCGAGTAGCTGGGATTACAGGCAGGCGCCACCATGCCCAACTAATTTTTTGTATTTTTAGTAGAGATGGGGTTTCACCATGTTGACCAGGATGGTCTCGATCTCTTGACCTCGTGATCCACCTGCCTCAGCCTCCCAAAGTGGTGGGATTACAGGCGTGAGCCACCGTGCCTGGCCAGATTTGAGTTTTAATTGTATTTCATCATTGCTAACACAAGCAATAGTTAAAGATTCCCATTCCTCTACCTCCTTCTCAATATTTGACACTGTCAGAATTTTTCTTTTTTGTCAATCTGGGTATGAAATGGTATTCATTCCTTTTTTTTTTTTTTAATCTGTATTTCAGTAATATCCACGGAAATAAAGCATCTACTGATTTAGAAGTCCTTCTGTATATATTTAGGATGTTATACATAAACAGGTCAAGTTTAAAATGGACAGTAAATCTGTAAATTGCCAAAATACAAAAAAAAGTCTGACTCAGTGATTAAACAGAGTTCATCTTAAAATTTGAATTTAAGAACAGTTACCAAAAAACTTATACAAAGTAATTTCATAATTAACTCAAGGAAAAATAAGTCACATGTCACATAATGATGTTTCAGTCAACAATGAACCACATATTCCATAGTGGTCCAATAAGATGGCAACAATGGGCCAGGCATGGTGGCTCATGCCTGTAATCCCAGCACTCTGGGAAGCCAATACAGATGGATCGCCTGAGCTCAAGTTCAAGACCAGCCTGGCCAACATGGTGACACTGTCTCTACTAAAAACACAAAAAATTAACCAGGCATGGTGGGGTGCGGGTGCGCCTGTAGTCCCAGCTACTCAGGAGGCTGAGGCAGGAGAATTGCTTGAACCCAGGAGGAGGACGTTGCAATGAGCTGAGATTGCGCCGTCACACTCCAGCCTGAGTGACAGAGTGAAACTCAAGCTCGGAAAAAAAAAACTGCAATACTGTATTTTTACTCTACCTTTTCCATGTTTAGATACACAAATACCATTTAGTTACAACTGCCTATGGTATTTCATACAGGAACATGCTATACAGGTTTGTAGCCTAGGAACAACAGGCTATACCATCTAG